ACCCCGGATTCAGCTGCTGCTGAAATTGACCAGCAGCAGCTGAATCAGGGACTCCTGGGGCAGAGCCTGACTATCGTAAGAGGGGGCTATGAGGGGCCTGGGGTGGCATCCCCTCCCACCCCACTCCAGACCCCTCATAGCCCCCCCTTCTGATAGTCCGGCATATCTGATAATCTGGCACCCCCTGGGTCCTAAAGGTGCCGGATTATCGGAAGTTTACTGTATTTTTTTATATTAATTCCTGTTGTTATGATCACAGTAAATGCAACAGATGAAATCCAGGCCCCATTGAAGTCAATGGGAGATTGACTTGCATGGTTTAATGTGAGATCTTGAATCAAAATCCCTTTTTGTACCTTTTTCCCCTAGAAAAATTGATAGGAGTAAGTCCCCTATCTGTCAGCTTTTAAAATGAAGCTTTTAAAAATGGCACCACTTTTTTCAGCAAATCTTTCAGTTCTGTCTTTGCATGGTGTATCCAAGAATAAAAAGTTGCCTGCAGAATCTATATCCCTGTCAATGAAGTTGAGCTAGAGAAAGCTGACTTGACTGCAGAACCCACATATATGTATAAGACTGCATATATTTGTGTGTGTATAATATAGTTTACTTTCTATATATATTTAATACTAGATTTACCTGGCATTGATCAGATCTTTCAGGGCAGAGGGTTGGAGGTGTGAGGGGGTTCAGGAGTCAGGTATGGGGGGGAGGGGCTCAGCAGAGGGGCTGGAGGAGTGTAAGAGTCAGGGTTGGTATGAGGAGGGTGTCAGGGCAGGAGGTTGTGTGGGAGTGCTGGAGTCAGGTTTGGAGGTGAGGAGGGGCTCAGAGCTGGGGCTCTGGGAGGTGCAGGAGCCAGAAGAGGCCACAGTGACCGGGTGGCAGGGAGTCAGGGCGATGTGCAGTGGGGGCCATGGTAGCTGGGTGGCAGGTCCTCAGGGCTGACCATGGCGGGGCCAAGCAGTAGGTCCTCAGGACTGGCTGCAGTGGGGCTGTGCTGGCCGGGGTAGGGGCTTGGCTCCTCGGGTCTGACTGCAGCAGGGAGGCTGTGCTAGCTTGTGAGGGGGCTGACTCCCCAAGGTTGGCCATGGCAGGGTCTGTGCTGTCCAGGCAGCAGGTGAGAAACTTACTTGCACCCCTACCCTCTGCTGGCCCAATGGAGTGTTAGCTGTCCCAGTCTGAACCTAGCCCTTTGCTGCCTCCTTGTGGTGTTACACAGTATCACGGTTGCTGCTCGCAGCTGTTTCCCTTTCCATGTTATGATAAACAATCCCATGCCAGGCACGTCCCATTGTCCTGGCACAACCAAACCCTGACTTTGCTTTAACGTATGATAAAAGGAAACTGCATATCAAATGTGGTGGTTACTGTTTGGGAGGAGTTCTTGAGCAGACAGACTCTCACTTAAACAGACTCACTCACTTAAACAGATAAACTCTCTCACATGTATAGTAGATAATTCAGTTAATTTAACAGTTGTGAATGACGTTAGACTGAAGCTTCAGAGATGGAAGGTGGCTGGCTCTTCATGGAGCGTGATGTGGAGCAGCAATGTTAACTTTTTTCACATCGCTCCCCTAATATGCCTCAACTCTGTGTCTGAGGTCGACTTGGTTCTTAGCCATGGCCACTGCCACTGTGTGACAGTGCATGAATATGCCTTTCTGCTTAGAGCTGAACTGACAACACCCGCATGCTTCAGATGGGCCACCAACTTAGTCATCAGTCAGTAATGATTTTCTGCCATCATCACCCTGTGCTGGATTTGAACGGATTACTTAGATGTGAAAGTCTCTGAATCCCCAGCAGAATTCAGGTTGTATTCAGTTTTTGCGTGTGTGCACACATAAACATTTGTTTCTTATGCAAGTTAGAAACCTTTATCTATACATCACAACTAGCTAATTTGTACAGTTGGATACTAGATTTCTCTGTGATCTTATTGTGACAGTGCAACATCTGTGTATATACAAAAGTTCCTATGCTTCCATGACATTTAGATACCAGAAAATATTTCCCACATTTTTCGTAAGGTATCTTTCTGGGCTCTGACTGCCTTGTTTAAATGTTGAGTTCACATTTTGAGTTTCTTCTGTAATTCCTTGTGTGTGTATGTGTGATCTGTCTATTTCAGCATCTCTGTAAAGGAGTCCATTATCGATGGGCATTTTTCACACCGAGTGGCCAATCTTTGGATGAAATAACAGAACTGGTTGATTCAGGAAAGGTATGTTAGAATCAGTAATTTAACCCGCTGTATTATTGCTGAAATAAATGCTGTTCTGGCTTAACAGGGTATAATTCACAAGGAATAAAACATTACAAGTTTTTTAGTGAAAGTGTTAATTTTTGCTCATTTAGTTCTCTCCCCAGTATGTAGAATGTACACATTGGTGTTTCCTACTGGGTTGTTAATAGGATACTCCCCTCTTTTCAGACGTAACACTTAACTGGGAAACTGGGTGATTTTTGCCACTGGTAGTAATTGCTTAGCCTGAACTCTGACAGTGACAATGAAAAAGGGGTGTTGGGATAGTAGAGACACCTGGTTTGCTTCTCCAGTTGAAATAAACTTGACTGCTTCTTCTATCTGTATACCCTGACTCCCCCAGACTTGTGCAGTGCTAGAAGATTTAGGGTCTTTCTGGTCATGGCTGACATGTTTTAGCAGAGTGGTGTGGGGAATCTTTCATGTAATTATTTCTCTTATTAGGAGTGTAAAATTCACTGAAACTTTCACATAATTTCATCAGGATCCGCGGGCTTTTAGGTGACCAGTTGTCTGAAACTTTCCACAGTGGAATCCGAAAAGGGGCACAATGAAAGAGGCGTACTATTGCTTTCCCAATTTTTCCATGTTGAAGAGCTTGTTACAAATGGTCTGCAAGAGAGGACGGGGAGGCTCCTCCTGACAGTGTAATTAGTCTCCCTTCTTTCTCCCCATGCTGGGAGATGAGGTGCTTAGCTTGGTGTAATTGTGTATTCTGTGGTTAATCAACACTGACTTTCAGGGATCTTGTCTTGGTGTGGGAGGAGTGAAAGGGGAGAATACACCTAGATTTACTAAAAATAGCTATGGCTAAAAACACCTACATTTTAATAAAAGTTGCTACAGGAGAGCAGGGAAGGTTGGTGAACCAAATAGCTTCTGAACCTGGTGTGGTGTTTTGTTTTCTCAACCCTTGCCCCTAGAAGTGTGGAAACCCTGCAGCAGGTCCTCTAGTGGAGACATTTTCTTGAGTTTGCTTTCTTCCAGCAGGAGAGGGGGAAGCATAAATAGGAGATACAGCTTCACAAACATCTCTCCCTTGTTTGTGTGGGATTTATAACACCAGTCAGATTAAACTAATGGCACATGTGACAGTGGAGTGTGACACAATGCAGAAAAGCTTCCACTGCCTGATTCGAGACTAGAAAGTTCAAGGGAAGTAGCCCACTTCTCTAACCAATTTAAAGAGGAAGGGTGGGCAAACTTTGTGGCCCTCGGGCCACATCATGCAATTTCCATACTGAGATGGGCCATGAATGCTCATGAAATTGGAGGCTGGGGGCCAGGAGGAGATTAAGGCTCTGGCCTGAGTACAGGCTTTGGGGTGGAGCCAGAAATGAGGCGTTCAGGGTGCCAGAGGGTGTTTCAGGCTAAGACTGAGGGGTTCAGAGGGTGGAAGGCACAGGGGTGCAGGAGGGTACGCCAGACTGGGATTGAGAGCTTGCAGGGAAGGAGATGGACCAGGGCTGGGGAAGTGGATTGGGACATAGGAGGAGGCTCAGGACACAGGATTTGGATGGGGCTTACCTGAAACGGCTCCTGGAAGTGGTGGCCTGCCTTTCTCTGGCTCCCACATGGAGGTGGGACTATGTAACTCTGTGTGCTGCCTCATCCATAGGGTACCATCACTGCAGTTCCCATTGACCGTGGCTCTTGGCCAGTGAAAGCTGCAGAGCTGGCATTTGGGTCCAGGGCAGCGTGTGGAGAACCTGGGCTGCCCTGCTTCTGGAAACCTTGTGGAGCAGAGCGAAAGAAGCCCCCAATCCCACTGTCCATAGGAAGCTTGAGGACTGGATTAAAAGATCCAACAGGCCGAATGCAGCCCATGGGCTGTAGTTTGCCCGCTCCTGGTTTAGATCATTTCTCTGCATAGTCCAGTGTGTTTAATGTGGGTGAATAAAGTGAGCTGGATAAAGCTAGCTTGCTTACTAAGGCAAGCCCAAAGAATTCCTGGGCTGGCTCATCTCTTGTTCTCACTGTGCTGGAAACTGCTCCAGCTGATCCTGTTAATGATGAACAGGTTGTATTTGGGAATTTAAACCCCCAAACATTACTGGATTCACTTGGATTCAGCTGTCAGGATTATATTAATCATATATCCCGGGGCTATAGAAAACTGCAGTCAGACAGGAGCAGGTATTCAGTATTGTTTGCAGAAACATAATATGGCTCTTTTGAATTCTTTAAAAGATACCAAAAGAGTAGCAATTGTGTGTGTCTTTGCATAACTCATTTGTGTCACCTTGTGAATTAGATACTGTTATCATTATCAGAGGGGTAGCTGTGTTGGTCTGTATCTTCAAAAATGATGAGATGTCCTGTGACACCTTAAAAATAGATTGTCAAAATAAATCTACATTAGAAACATAAGAATGGCCATACTGGGTCAGACCAAAGATCCATCTAGCCCAATATCCTGTCTGTCGACAGTGGCCAATACCAAATGCCCCAGAGGGAGGGAACTCAACAGGTAATTGTCATGTGATCCTTCCCCTGTCGCCCACCTCCAGAGAAACAGAGGCTAGGGATACTATTCTTACCCATCCTTTTAGCCATTGATGAACCTAACCTCCATGAATCTATTTAGCGTGTAGGTAGGTGGTGTGTTTTTTTTTTTTTTTTTTAATCTTGTTAAAGTCCTAGCCTTGACCACATTCTCTGGCAAGGCGTTCTAGAGGCTGACTATGCGCTAAGTGAAGAAAAACTTCCTTTTGTTCATTTTAAACCTGCTGCCTATTAATTTCATTTGGTGACCCCTAGTTCTTATATTGTGGGAATAAGTAAATAACTTTTCCTTATTCACTTTATTTATTCATACGACCCCTTAATATTATTGCCATATTACAAATGGAGAAAGTAAGGCAGAGAACGGTTTGTTACTGAGCTAGGTTCTCATAAGAAATCCATGGTAAAGTTTGGGAACAGAATCCAAAACTTGCCTGCCCCATTTCTGGGTCTTCACTTCCAGACCATTGTCCCTTTCTGCATGTATTCATATTTAATTTTTTAAAATTTTTTCTTAGGTATGTTTGAAATTAGGTAGTCACTTAAGATCAAGGCAAGAGAAGTCAAACTGCTGGATGTATTTTTGTGCACATAATATTCATATTGTGGAGATTCTATGGGTTCATTAAGAAGAAAAACCCTGTCACTAGCCTTTTGGGTTCAAAAGTTACCCTTGTATACTTGACCCGAGTAATCACTGCCAGCCAGTGCCATATTTGAGTCTGCCAGTAGTTTCAAACCCTGCCTACAAGAGGTGTGACCTTTCTTCTCCCGTTAATCTCACTGTGATGCTAAGTCTAGAGCCTATTGATGACATATTAAGTATCAGCATTAACTATTTCATTGCATATCATTTCAGTGGTAAAGGGGGTGGGAGTGAAGGCCATGGAAGGTGGGACTTGAGAGATGCAGCAGGGAAGGAAATGCAGACACAAGAAAGGAGAAAAACAAAGGCACGGAAGAGGGAAACAGAAAGGAGGCTGGGGAAGGAAGAGAAACAAAAGGCAGAAATAGTGGTGTTGCTGAAGGTGAGCCTGTTGTCCACTTAGTGACAATGAAGTGTCAAAAATGAAATTTTTAGAGGTAATATCAAAGCCAAATCTACTAATGATCTTTGTGCAAACTTCTCAGTGACATAAGGGGAGATTCACTGTGGATGGAGGGAGGGGAATATTGAGTCCTACCATTTATACCTTGGCTCATGAACCATAATTGCAAATGAAATTTGGCCCTTTCCACAGAACAAGTGCCTTTGAGCTAAATACAATCATTCTTGCGCGTCTCAGAATTATTGTGTGTATTTGAACCTAAAATACATATTGCGTAAAGTTTGTGGATAAGCGTGCATATTTGTATGCCGTGTGTTATTAATAGTCAATATTTATATTTGTCCCTAAAGTTCTACTCAGGATCAGTGTGCTGGGTGCAATGGAAACCCAGAAGAGAACCATTGCTATATGCTTTTGGGGTTTGATTCTTCAGTTCTTGCTCAAAGCAATTAGGGAGTTTTACCTGAGTAAGGACTGCAGACTTTAGGCTCTTCTGTCCTCCTCACAACTGAAGGGGCCACTGCACCTCTCTTACCAGAGAAATACAGACCCGCAAGGAAGAATTCATATTGGCCAACAGTTTGAAGATGGCTGATGCAGTATTTCAGTCATAGCCTGTTGATTCCAGAGCTGGATTTGATACATTTCACTCTTTTAACATCAGCAAATAGGTTTCCCGTCTCTGTCCTCTGTCCAATTTAAAACATGTAGAGAGCTCATTGAAGAGCCCAAAAGCAATCGCTAGGAACATTTTGTAAAGCCCTTTTCTCATGCTTTCTCCTGTAGCATGAAGTAAGCACACAGTAAGAGCCAAAACAATTCTGGTAGGAAACCATGGAGAACCGTGAAGGCAAAGGATGGAAAGCTGGGGGAGTCTACACGGGATCACCATGACACCTCAAACCTTGCTCCTATTCTTGCCCCTTATCAATAAGTCCATCCAAAGCATCCCTGTCCAGTGGCATGCAAAGCTCATACCAACCCTTCTTCTATATGCAGTCCCATGAGCCCATATCCATATTATTCTGCATTATTAAGATTGGAGAGCAAGAGTATATTCAAACCCTCTCAGATAAACAGTTCTGTAGTGGTGTGTGTAATCCCTTCTCTCCCCAACCTCTAGTATTTAATCCCTTTTCCCTGAACAAAGTAAGTGCCCCTGACATGGGGCTGATGTGTGGCAGCAAATAAGCAGTGTTTGCATTATCCAATTAATCTCCACTTATATCATGTATTCAGCAAACAGCGAGGCTCCCCCCAGCTGGCCTGCCAGTTCACAGGAAGAGATTTTATCTCAGTCAGTTGTTTATGGTAAGGGTCGAATGACTCATTGTGTTATGAGGTGGTCAGCCCTTTCAGGTTATCCAGACAATGGGTTGATCAGCCGGCCAGATTCAGTTTTTAATGCCTTAGATTGCCAGGATCATCAATTTAGTATTTATGTCTCTAGAACATTGCCTAGGGCCAGTGTTTAAATCAGACCAGAGGTTTCTAACAATGGAGCATATGAGCTCTGAGCATTTGGTGGCAGTGACACACATGGTGTTTTGTATTCAGTCAGGTTGGGCTGGGGGAAGGGGTTCCTCTGAATCCCAATTTAAAAATGTTGTGCTAGGAACATTATGTAACATATTGAGATTCTAAGACATAGATCTGTTGTTGATATAGCCCATAACCTGATACAAGTGATCACAAGTAGTTCAAAATATGTGTTAGGCCTGTGGCAGGTAGCAGTCTTGGTTTTTTTTGTTTAGTCTTCGTATAACCAGTGTTGGTGTCTGGAATTATCCTTATTGCGCCTTTTCTCATAAATGGCTCTTCTGTGATTCCACCTAGGGCCCATAACTGAGCTCCATCCTTGGTTGATCACTGTTTTGATATGCTCACCCTGCCACAGGCCACCCTCCCACTGGGCTAAGGGGTGGGTGGGTGTGGGTGTGGGTGTGTGTGTGTGTGTGTGTGTTTGTTCCTGAACAGTCTACCCTGGTTTTGTTTTAAACTGAAGCTCAGCAAAAATAGATCTTGTTACTTCAATAGGTAGTTTGGCTTCCTTAAGCCATGCTCTGTACAAATCAGCTGCTGCTCCCTGCTTTCCCTCCTCATTGCTGGTGCTAAAGCAATGGAGAACCGCCACTGCTATGGTTGCTGGTTGATACTCCATCTCCCTTGCCAGTAATCACAGCAGGTGGTAGAGCCACTCCATAAGCACAGTTAAAGACATTACTGCATTCAGAGCGCATTGCTTTACCTCCCTCTCCATGATGCTGTTGATCATTAGGGCAGCACTGACCAGCACAGCCAAGCTAAGTTTGTCTTCAACTCAGAATTGCTTCAATCATGAGGTAGCAGTGAGTGCTGTGCAGCAGCGGACTGGCCCCTCCTGCCATTTCTCCATTCCACTGCAAAGAACCACATAGATTGGGGTGCTCCCCATGTTCAGCCAGGTAAAACTTACATTTCAGAGTGTGGTATACAGTGTGCTTGTAGCTTTGATGGTCAAAGGATATTAGAGAAACAAGGTAGATGAGATAATGTCTTTTATTGGACCTACTTCAGATGCTGAGATGTTTTCAAGCTATGCAGAGCCAGGTCGTGGAGTAGCTTGAAAGTTTGTGTGTCAACATCCAGAATTTGGTCTAGTGCCTTTACCCACTTTGTCACTCGAGAGTATGTACACTTGATGCAGCTAACGAATATATATTAACACACTGGTTTTAGGAGAGAATCAAAATATACTATTTTGGATCCTTTCTTCCAAGTTCTACACTTTTGTGTGTGTGTGTTTTAAAAAGTTGCACAAATTGCGACCCACAATTTGTGTACCCTTTTCCGCTTGTTTTTTCAGAAGACGCTTTTCTGACATTTAGCCCATCTACATGGGGCCAAATGTCAGAAAACCCTCGTGTTTCGGAAGATCCCTTAATCCTCATAAAATGAGGAATACAGGGATGCCGAAAGAACGCTCCTGCTTTTTTGTAAACTGTTCTGAAAAAGTGGACACATGTTCCCTGAACATGGCAGTCTAGACATAGCCCCAGTTATGTAGGCTCTTCTGCTTGGCATTGCTGATTTGACTTCTCTGACTCAAAAAGCATTGTGACAGGTGAAAAAATCAGGTGATTATTCTGTCATAATAGTTTGTTTTGATTACTAATGTCCTGGCTTATTGCAGCATTTGGGATTTGCTCTAGAGCCGTGGTGTCATGCTATAGTGAACTAGCCACACTCAACCGGCTACATGTGGCTAGTGGTAGCGTGTCGGACACCATGGTTCTAGGGTGTTTGATATCAACAATATGCATCGAAAATATGCAGAGGAAGGAGTGAAGGACCTTACAGTGGGATTTTCAGCTGCAATATTGCAGCTGCTGGCAGTAGTGGACAGATATATTCTGTGGACAGTTTTCAAAATGTTGCTTGGGAAGATGGAGCCCTTCGCTGGTAGATGTCATGCACTCAGTTCCCAGGCTGTTTCCAAAAAAACCTTTGCAGTTTGACAAAGGTGGAGGTGAGGAAGGGAGACTGCTTGCTTGGAACCTTGAAAAAGAGACACTGCTTTTGAAATTTGCAGACTGCTTATTTTATTACATAAATAAAATGTAAATATTACATAAATGCATCCCAGGATACTCAAGGAGCTGATAGAGGAGGTATCTGAGCCTTTAGCTATGATCTTTGAAAAATCATGGCAGACAGGGGAGATTCCAGAAGACTGGAAAAGGGCAAATATTGTGCCCATCTATAAAAAGGGGAATAAGAACAACCCAGGAAACTACAGACCGGTCAGTTTAACGTCTGTCCCAGGGAAGATAATGGAGCAGGTAATTAAGGAAATCATATGCAAACACTTGGAAGGTAATAAAGTGATAGGGAATAGCCAGCATGGGTTTATGAAGAACAAGTCATGCCAAACTAATCAGATAGCTTTCTTTGATAGGATAACGAGCCTTGTGGATAAGGGAGAAGCGGTGGATGTCATATACCTAGACTTTAGTAAGGCATTTGATACGGTCTCACATGATATTCTTATTGATAAACTAGGCAAATATAACTTAGATAGGGCCACGATAAGGTGGGTGCATAATTGGCTGGATAACCGTAGTCAGAGAGTTGTTGTTAACGGTTCTAAATCCTGCTGGAAAGGGATAACAAGTGGAGTTCCGCAAGGGTCTGTTTTGGGACCCGTACTATTCAATATCTTCATCAATGATGTAGATATTGGGATAGAGAGTACGCTTATTAAGTTTGCAGATGATACCAAACTGGGTGGGGTTGCAACTTCTTTGGAGGATAGGGACATAATTCAAAATGACCTTAGCAAGTTAGAGAAATGGTCAGAGGTAAACAGGATGAGGTTTAATAAAGAGAAATGCAAAGTGCTCCACTTAGGAAGGAACAATCAGTTCCATACATACAAGATGGGAAGCGACTGTCTAGGAAGGAGCATGGCGGAAAGGGATCTAGGGGTCATAGTGGACCACAAGTTGAATATGAGTCAACAGTGTGATGCTGTTGCAAAAAAAGCAAATATGATTCTAGGTTGTATCAACAGGTGTGTTGTAAGCAAAACTCGTGAAGTCATTCTGCCGCTCTACTCTGCACTAGTTAGGCCTCAGCTGGAGTACTGTGTCCAGTTCTGGGCGCCACATTTCAAGAAAGATGTGGAGAAATTGGAAAGGGTACAGAGAAGAGCAACAAGAATGATTAAAGGTCTAGAGAACATGACCTATGAAGCCAGAGGGGGGACATGATTGCGGTTTTCAAATATCTAAAAGGGTGTCACAAGGAGGAAGGAGAAAATTTGTTTCTCTTGGTTTCTGAGGACAGGACAAGGAGTAATGGGCTTAAAGTGCAGCAGGGGAGGTTTAGATTGGACATTAGGAAAAAATTCCTAACTGTCAGGGTGGTCAAATATTGGAATAAATTGCCAAGGGAGGTGGTGGAATCTCCCTCTCTGGAGATATTTAAGAACAGGTTAGATAGACATCTGTCAGGGATGGTGTAGATGGAGCTTGGTCCTGCCTTGAGGGCGGGGGGCTGGACTTGATGACCTCTCGAGGTCCCTTCCAGTCCTATTATTCTATGATTCTATGGTTACTGCATTATGCCTTTGGTATTTCAAGGCAGTTGAATAATATTGTAGCTTGAGAGAGTATTTATCAACTTAATTATTCAGCTGGATAGATTGGGACAAATGAACAGGTTCTCCCAAAGGAGAATTGTGATTATCAACAGTGTGTTATAAATAGAAACCTACAAAAATGCACTTATCTGCTTTGTATTTGTGGGTATCTGCATCTGCAGATGTCAGTGTAAATATCCATGGTTCACTTTTGTGGATATGGATGTGGCTAAATTTTGTGTGTGCAGGGCTCGAGTTATAAATAAGCAGCTTTTTAGCAGAATAAATAGGACATTCAGAGACTCTTATTTAAATACTGATCACAACAACAGCTAAATACAAAACCAGCTAATGTTAAAATGATCATAGCCAGCCGCGTGATGCAAGAATATTGCATCAAGATGACACCAACCTCTGAGAGCAGTGTTCTTGCAGAGCTCTGGGAGGAGGGCTCTAGATCTGATGCCATTTCTAGCATTCCTTTTGGCTGTCAATGAGCTGTGTTTTCAAAAGAAGTTGCTTTTCTGCCTCCCTTGGTACAGCTGGAATGTTGGCCATTAGCAAGAGGCATTGGAGGAATATGTATAAGAGTAAAGCAATGCTGATCAAGGTGCCTAATTCCCACTGGGTCCACTAGCAATTAAGACAAAGACAACCTTAAGTGACTTAGGGTCAGCTTTTAAAAGGTGTTTGTGTCTTAATTGCTAGTGGACCCAGTGGGAGTTAGGTACCTTGATCCCTTTAAAAATCTAGGCATAATTTACATAGATCAACAGCTATTTTGATGTCTGAATTTTAATGTTATCAGCAGGTAAGGAATATAAAGCCCATACTTGTGCTCATAAGGCATTTTTAAAGGTGGAGTCTGTGACATTTTCAAAAGTACCTCAGTACCCAAGTCTCACTGAGTCAGGTGGGAGTTAGACATGGTAAAAGCTTTCAAATATCCCAAAAGGTCCCTAAATACCTTGTAAAAATGTGACCCTATGGAGCTTTGAATGGAACACAAGGTAGAATCCTTGTATCCTGCAGATAAGAGTTGTGAACAGTAGATGACTGTATTAGTGACAAGATATGGCCTGGTATATTATTTCCATATTACACAGAACTTTGACGCATGGACAAGGAGATGATGTTAGAACCATGCTCATTTGGTCCCTGTCAAGTGATACCATCTCCCTGTTTTTGTTTCATAGATCCGTCCAGTGGTTGAGCAAGTCTTCTCTCTTTCTGAAGTTCCAAAGGCCTTTCTTAAGCTAGAAGAAGGACATGCACGTGGGAAAACAGTAATAAATGTAATTAATAAAAAATAACTTCTAAAGCCATTCTGTTTTGCTTGCAGTCTGTTGTAGTGGTCTATTGCATTTGGACACAGATTTGTAGGTGTAGTTTACTATCTTTTCCTTACAAGTCTCTTTAAAATGGTGTTCTACGTTTAAAATGCTCCTAAAAGTGTTACAGGCCATGAATCCAGTGTGCATTGTATGAAAGTTCTCACTTTAAAAAATGAATATAAAATTACCCATATAAAAAACCTAGTTGAGACCTTCCTACTGTGGTTTGTAAAACTTTTGAGAACAGGCATTGGCCTTTCCTCTGTTTTAACGTGGCTAAATTATAGCCATGAGTGAAGAGAATTTGTAATTCTTCATATGGACACTGATAACCATCCTTCTGGTGGCAGGAGCTAAGTTGACAGCCTTATTAATTGTTAGTTCCACAGGGCTGTGCGCTATATGTACCCAAATGCCCTGTGAATGAGTTTGCAAAGGAAGTACTTGCTGACCTGTAAACAAGTGTTGAGCAATAAATTGGATTGAAAGGAACCCCAAGATGCAATCCCTAACCCCATGCTCCAGTGACTATTCATAACAGGAATAAAGGCTTCAATAGGAAAGGCTGAAGGACCCTTATCTCAGGCAGTCCCATTAGCTTGTAGATAGAGCTCTCTTCTGAGATGTGGGAGGCACCACTTCAAATCCATTTTTCCTTTTGGGGTTCTGGGAAGGGTGTTTACAGCCCATAGAGCCTCCCCACTCTTTGGGGAAGCACCACCAATTCTATGTATGGGGGGCAGGTATAATAGTCTAGAGGGGGCCCAGCATCCTCTAGCACAGTCACTGCTGCTAGGCCCCAGTCGCAGGTTTGGCAGGGAAAATTTGTGCTTATCCACCATGCAGGTTCCAGGGCAGCTGAGGAGAGAGAATCTGCTAGTCAGGTCCTGGGTTCATTCACACACTCCCTGAAATCCAGAGAGCTTAATGGTGCAGCCAGGAGGCTGAGTAACAGATAGTGCCTCTTCTGCCTCCCATGGACTGGAATGAGGCTCAGGTACTTCTCCAGGAAGAAAGAAGAGATTGAGTTTTCCAGGGAGGCGGGGGAAGGAACACAGCTTAGGGTTTGCAAAGGGGAGATGCAGTTGTGGCCAGCACAGGACTCCTCTAAGCAAGGGTGGGGCAGAGGAATTGGGCTGCCCCAGGATTCCTCTGGCCATCTGGAGGCAGGGAGGCTCAGGGCTATGGCTGCCAGGGGACTATAGGGATTTGTCGACAAAACTATACCTGCGTCCACACTACCGCTGAGTTCTGTCGACATAACGTCGACAGAACTCAGCAGTTTTGTCGACGCTGGTAAACCTCATTTTACGAGGCATAACACCTTCTGTCAACAGAGTTTCTGTCGACAGAAGGTGTTATTGCATGTAAACTGTCCTTTGCGTCCACACTACCATGTCGACAAAGCAGCTTGCTTTGTCGACAGAACTCAATGTAGTGTAGACGCTCTTTGTCAACAGAAGTTTTGTCGACAGTATCTGTCGACAAAACTTCTGTCGACAGAAGCCTGTAGTCTAGACGTACCCTTAGTTTTGTTAGAGCGGATTAAGAAAACAGACGTGACTTGCTCCTTTAAATAGGCATTGCTGAATGGCTGAATTTTGGTGAGAGATAAATGAGTGAAGTATGTAGGATGGGGGAGACATAAGGGCAAACAGACACAGAGAAGACTTATATATGGATTGGTGAATATTCCTTTTATTGTCCTCTCACTGTGTTCTTCTGCGCTCCCAAAAGATTGATGAATCAACATTTTTAGTACAACCATTTAATTTCTTTAAAGAACCAAGTTGCTGACTTTGAACTAGAGGAGAGGGATTTTCCACAGAGATTTTACACAATCACTGAGCATCCAATACTCTTCCCTGGTTGGGAAGAATTGAGTCGGTCTCTTCCTGCTTCTGCTGAACATTGGGATGTGTAGCTAGACTGTAAATTAAGTAGCCAAGACTGGAGCTGGTGCTCTGATAGCCAGCAAAAATAAAGATCATTGCTTGTGCTGGAATCTCAAGATCAGTCAGGACTGTGAGACGAGATTAAAAACAGGCAGAAAAGGCAAAATGCATGTAGACTGTGCTGTTTGTGGTATAGTACAGACTGTACCTCATATACATGTTCTTAAGTTGAATCTGTATGTAAGTCGGAACTGGTGTCCAGACTGATCAGTTTCAGCAGCGGCTGAATCTGGACGCCAGTTCCGACTTACATACAGATTCAACTTAAGAACAAACCTACAGTCCCTATCTTGTACGTAACCCGGGGACTGCCTGTAGTTTCATGCAAGAACTAGTTAAGAGTTAACCTCTAGGCAAGTGGTTCCCATTAATGGATTGCTGAGCAGGGAGAGGTGCTCCTTGTGGCCTAGATTTAGATCTTTCTTCTCTTGCAGGAAGTCACTTAGGACACGCATCTCTACAGCAACTCCCTGCCTCATGTACTCATCTCTTCCCCACTCATGCTGTAGGGTGCAAGTGATTAGGCTGAGTGGAACATCACAGGAACAACACAGCTTAAGTGCCTAAGGGTCCATAAAGTGTTTAATACCCTCTTTAGAAGTGATCTTAGTGCAGTTCTTGTCACAGCAGCAGCAACTGTGTCCACCACATTTGCATTCCCTGTAGGCAATCCATAGTGGAAACACTAAGGACAGCAGAACCTGGGTGATCTTTTCACAACAGACTTGGGGCACAATGAAGCTGGCAGCACCACACTTGTACAGATGAGCTTAACTACAGCTATGTAACAATGAGACTCTGCCTATAGTTTCATTAAATCACATGTACTTCAACAATTTTGTTCAGCTAAATCTAACACACTGTGGATACAAAACAAGCACAGAATTACCACCTTGGAACCAAAACTAACTCTTTAGGAAGGAATAAAAAGCATTTTACAACCACGATTTTTTTTTTTTAAAGAGAAAGATGTATTTGAATGTTGATTAGTGCAGTTGTCTGTACAGCAAGTGGAAAAAACCCACACACTTAAAATTAGATTGAAGGCACTAAGACTTCCCCACAGGTAATGATAAAAAATAGAGCACAGTATCCTGCAAGGCAACATACAGTAAAGAAAGTTACATTCTCTTAGGTTTACTGTGCAAGACAAAGTCTAGCAAATGCCCCCAGAGGCTACTAGGAGTGGTTTGTCATAACACTGGTTCTAAGCAAGAATGAAATATAGCAGCATGGTACAAGAGTTTACATTCACTGTTCTGTTCTGCCAATGATATAAAATAAAACCACATTTCTAATACTGGGCCAAGAGAGGCAAAAGTTAATACACAAGAACAACCTACAAGTTACTTCATGTGCATCACTTGTTTTTGTCCTCTCTTGAAACAAGCTTTGTGCTAAGGTGTTGTTCCTATCCTACAGTATACATCACTGGAACTAAGGTATCTAAATTCTTATATGGCACTTACCCTTGTAGTATGAATGTCTCCAAGTTCTTTTCCCTACCTCAGCAATAAGCTTGTGTCTTCAGCACCAGTGCATAGCTACAATAGTGTTGCTGTAACAGCCTAGCACCATTGATCTAACCCTCCTGGACTTCATCAGAAATGTTTGGTGAATGCTAAGATCATGATGGATTAGAATGAAATGAACTCTATGGATAGAGAGAGTGGCTAGGACAGTATGTGGAGAGATTGGGAACCACTGTGATTAGTGATGATTTTTAAAACTAAAAGGAAAGAAAAGTATTAAGTTAAATTCCAAGAGCAGTAATAACCGCACTTAATAGAGCTACTGCAAAGTTTGAATATTTGCCCCAAGCAGGTAAGTAAATAACACTTTTAACTCTGTAAAAAAGTAAGGCATCTTTTTAAAGTAGAAACAGAAAATGGGCAAATTCTTCACAGTGGACATACCTTTTTTGCTGCCCAATACTTTTGCTAAAAACCATCTACAGATTTGTATCCTCTAATAGAAAAACTAGAAGAGATTGCTTATTAAAATACAGACTTTAAAATGACAATTTACTAAAATATATCTGCACAGCACTTGCAGTAATTTTGGTAAAAATTTCCCTAAAGTTTTTAAATGCTTTCAACAGACTGATTTTTTTTTGGTACCAATGCATTATTTACATGTTAATTTTGAGGAGATAAATACTCTGATATACTACTACTAAGTTCAATCTATTTTGGATCTCCTCTCATATGTTGCACTTCAATTTTTTGTGGAATAAACTTTACCTAATTCTCTTTGTATGATAATTTTATATTTTTTCTGATAAAAACACCTGTAGCAATAATAAAAAATTCTGAATTAGCAATTCATCACTGACATGAAACTGCTGCTGGGTAGGGGAGGACTTTAACATTTAAAAAACTATTAACAAACAAACAGCAGGGAACAGTTACAAGAGGTGATCAACATAGTTGTAGTAGGTTAACAACCAGTATCTCTCTCAAACTTATAGAATTAGTACTTAGAGCTGAAACTGTTGCTTGTTCTTATGATTGAGAAGGCCACAGGACAGATTTCTCTCTTCTTTGAAGACTGCCACATTAGTTGGAATGTTGGTATAATCTCTCCAATCGATGGACTTGTTTGGATTTATAGAACTAATGCTTCCCAACACTGGGTTGGCTTCCGTTCATTGACCGTGTTCACAACAACGTGATTTTGATCATACTGTGTACCCCCTGAGAAGAAATGTAAAAAGAAAATTAAATGTGAAGAAAATCACTGAAAATGACGGACTGTGACAGTCAGTGCTGTAAATGTTTCAGAGACATTCTGATGATCCATGGTAAAGATGTACATCACCGCCCCCATTCCTATCCTGCCACCTTACTCCCTTGGGTGCTTTCTTCTAAACTTCTCTCTGTCCCCATTTGGTGCCTGAAATTCCTTAACGCTGGTCTGCTGTGAACCTCCAGGTCCTGCTCTTGCAATGCAGAAGGACAATAGGATGAGAATGTCAGGTGAGGCTGACTGGATCAGGACTTTCACCTACCGACAAACAATGCTGCACCACAATCCTCACATGCTAGCTATCTAGTGATTAACTGGTCTCCATAGGCTAGCTAAGGAGTACTCAATATAAAAGAAATGCTGTTGGCCAGCAGAACATATAGCAGTATCAGTATAAATCCCAAATGCCTTTACGTTGTCATTACTCAAACAATCAGATAGTTTCTGTGCACTCAGACTATAGTGCATTGAAATAGGATTCATGTACATTTATATATGTTATATCCCCACCTCTACCTCTCACTGGTAACTGCAACACAAACCATGCACCTACATCTGCATTATTTCAGTGATACTTGACCTTTTCTCTCTCCTGAAATTAGTAAATGGACTGTTACATTTTACTGTCTGTTACATGTGGTATCACTAATGCAGATGATCAGTCTAGAGCTCCCACTGCTGGAAAACCTCAGCTTCTAGGACAAAGAAGTTTGTCACTGAAAACATGAAACCGACCAGGGTTTCACAGTACTCAAGCATTTATTTATTGTCTTTCATGCTGCATTAATATAATGTCTTAGATCTGTCATTAGGGGGTGTCTGAGCCAACTGACAGCCAATGAAGAAAATGTCCATTCACTGAAAAAGAGTCTATTCTTATTCACAAAGATTCATTCTTCTAGACAAAGAAATGCCTTCAGGCAGTTATGTCAATTTCCACCTCCCTAGCAAGCACCACAAGCTCAGGGCTCTATGCTTTCCAATGTGGGGAAAAGACCAAGAGCTGGCACAAAGAGCAAGAATACAAAAGTGTTCCCTGGGCCTAGAATGGTCTCTCCCCTGTGCAATCACTCTGTGGGAGCTCAATTCTGCATGATAGGGCTGTTGTCCATTGCTCATGCTGGCGTCTTGCCTTACGTGAAGCAGAACTTGTGATACGAGAAAAACAAGTTCCTGCCTTATCCAACAGCAGCAATTCCCTCCCCCCCACCACCCTACCTAGGGTGGATGGCATGGGACCAGCCTAAGGTAGTGCAGCAGAGATAAGACTTATTCTGAGGTGGGCAATCATTTTTGACAGGAGGCCACTAAGATTTTGGAAAGTGGTCGAGGATCGCACTCTTCCAGGATATTAATGGAGAAGGTGTGGGATCTGGGATAAGGGACTGAAGAGCAGGAGAGATACTGGAGTGTTGGAGGGAGTTGGGATGAAGCAGGTGGTTGTGACCTAGGGCAGGGGACTGGAGTGCAGGGTTTTGGGATGTGACCTAGGGTAAGAGGGGATTGTGATCTGGGGCAGGAGATTGGGGTGCCAGATCTGGGAGGAGGGTATGGGTGTAAGAGGGGGACAGAGGATTTGGGTATGCTGAATGGGGGGGAGTGGGGGCAGAGAGTTGAGGGGGGGGGCAGAGAGTTGGGCCAGGAAGGGGCTGGGTTGCCAGAAGCAGGCTGTGGCCAAGAGACTTAACTTGCTAGATGCCAAACTAGCCGGCCTGCCTGCAGAGCTTAAAATGTTCCCCAGCCAGCTGCCAAATTAGTCTGCCTGGCCACGTGCTTCATGAATAACTGAGCCCAGGAGCGGAGGCATGGTTCTTCTTGGTTGTCTGGTACTCCCAACAGCCAACTCCAGAAACCAGCCCATGGAAATGTGCTGGGGGTGGGATGGCTCCTAAAACCTCCCCCCTTCCCTCCAGTTTTAAAACAGAAATGGAGCCTTGTAGCTGCTTTTCTGTAGGGCATGCTGGGCTGAGGGGGGGGGGGGGGGGGCCCCGCTGCCTTTGCGGGCCAGATCTGGTGGCTTGGCAGACTGGATCTGGCCTGCGGACTGTATTTTGCCCAGGCCTGACTTACACTGTCAGAGCAAAGGGAGACTTGAGCAGAGGGGAAATTGGTCAGGCTGTGTTCAGTGAGATGGTTCTGTTACTGTGCTGAGGCACAGGATGGGCTACAATAATCAATCAATCTTGGCCACGGGAAATAACTAAAAAGTGCTTCTAAGTACAGTTCATAAATAATCATCATGGCAAACTATTCTTAAAGTTATGCCTGCTGGAATACAACTGTATGAGAGACAGGGTTACGGGGTGTAACAGTTTAACTAGTTAATTGATAAGCTGATGTGTATTGGTTCAAGTTAATGGTTAAACTCCTAGGGGCCAATGGGGCTGCTGGGTGCCTGTGGCTCTGGCAGCCTACAAGGCTCTGCTGCAGAGTTAAGAGTCCACATGATCAGCAGCACTGGGATCCATTTAACCATGCAACCGATGGAACTGTAATCGGTTACACAGTTTGTAGTTTAAACCCTTTTTACATCCCTAGACAGTACCTGAAATAGAAGAAAATCCAGACATTTAAATGTTTAAGTGTGTGATTACTATGGGCAAATATCACTGCCATGAACTATTTCTGAACACCCACAAGATGGCACCATTATCACAATTTCTGAACAAGTTCATTTGCTAAAGAACATGTTGGGGCTAAAAATAGATGGTTGGTTATTTAGCTTTAATGGTGGTTCAGCAACATAGAAGGACTAGATACAGGATTTTTTAAAATTAAATTACCTGTACAAGCGACACTAAATTTATTCATGTTTCAGATGTATATAAAACAGATCCTTCACAAAGCACTTGGACATCATGAAAACAAATACTTGGGGGGCGGGGGGGGAGGGGGGAACCAGGCAGGTGAGTTTGTCTCTCACCAACAGAAGTTGGTCCAAGTAAACATCACCTCACCTCACCCGTCTTTACTCCCTAATGTCTACAAACAGTGCATTTTG